TAGACAAGGCACATGGCCTTGAAATACGCCTAGCCTATGCACCTAGGCATGCCACACTAGTCATAATGTGCTTTAGACCTTTTTGGGAGATTCCCTTGAAGGAGTCTTTGATGCATAGTTCATAGGGGCATCAACCTAAGTTCTGTGGATTATACTCTTTTTGTGGGGTTACAGTTGGTGCCCTCATTACAAGTTGGAATTTCTTAATAAAATACTACACATTTATCAAAAAAAAAGAAAAACTCATTATAAGATGAAAGTTTTTGGGGCCATGGAACAAGAGGAACAATAGGTTATTTGATAAGCGGGCAAAATCAGTAAATGAGGTGGTTAGTGACGATATTTCATCCCTGGATTATTGACGATAAGCTTTGTTTTAATCATACAACATTTTTTAAATCATAGGTTGTTTAATGGTTGGAATTGTTTTTGTAGAAAGGTTGAGATATAGTATACTTATACATCCTTGTCTCATGTATTATAAATAGCTTGGGGGTTTGGAGCCATAGACAAGGTATGAAGGAGGTGAGGTGGCTAGCAACATAAATTGAGGTCAGATTCAAATGGGCTAAAAGATCAACTAATGGTTTGGTGGACACATGTAGAATGCACTATTGACATGAGTCTAAGAAGGAGATGCACGAAGGGACTGAAAGGGCTTTGTTGAGCGAGTTCACATCAGCTCTCCGCAATGCCCCACAACACATCTGGTCGGGATGTGTTGTGGTGTCACAGGACTAGTCATTGGGGTCCCATGCACCATCCGAATGCGTCAAGTAAGCCTAAGCAACAACACAAGAAAAGGCAACAAGATAGCATACAAATTAGTCAAAATACTATTTGTATTGCATTAATTGATGATAAGTACAAGCATACATATTTGTGTCAAGGGGACCTCATGCTTAACCTTTACATAGTATTGACACACTCAACTACCTACCTCCCCTCAAAGAGTAAGTTAACGTTTTAGGGGAGTGACATAAAAAAAAACATTAAAATGGTGAAAAATCATACTGAGTATTTACAATAATGCCATTGGCATTCCCCCCTTCATAATTGCCCCACCTAAGACAAAGAAAATGACATGCGGTTGGCGAGCTACGAGAAGTGGATGGCACTTGATGGTGCGATGAAGAGAACACTTGTGACAGTCATTCCCACTCAATTCAGTCTTCGTCCTCAAAGACTGGCTTCTGTTTGCTACTTGGATTTGCTATTGATGAAGGAGGATTCTTTAGTTGCTTCATGAACATTGTTTCCTCCAAAGCTTGGGCATAAGGTTGGGCAGAAGGCTTTAGGGTGCTCTTGATGGTGGGAGAACCTATAGCTAGTTCCTAAATTAAGTCCCTTCCTAGTTGCTTTGAGGTAAGATTTGGGTGTTCCCATTTGGTGGTAGGAAAAGTTAAGGCCAGGGTTGGGTCAAAATGATTGTTTGGATTTTTGGGGTATTGGTTCCCATTATGATTTTCCCCCTAAGATGACTCCTCACGAAGCTCCTATGAGAATTGGCTTGAGAAAGGTGGTGGAAAGGGTACCTATGTTGATGTGGAAAGGGTGGCACTCACTCTCCCTGATGGTGATTGTATTGGAAATTGTTGTGGTTGTAGACGTTTTTGGGTCTTCCAGGCATCTTCTATTCTGGATGGTTGCGATGTTGATGCCGGTGTTGGTGCTGGCACTGATGTTGAGGTTGGCTCTGGTGTTGGAATTGCTTCAGTGTAAACTACTTTGTGATGACTTCCCCTTCATTGATGTTAGGTGTTGGTGTGAGGGTCTTCTCTATTGCTGGCTTGGCACTGACTCCATGGGTGCCTGCTTCTTTTCTTAGTACAACTACAAGGCTAAAAGCTGCTTTCCATGTACCTTGAGGGTTATTGTCATTGGGATCATGCATAGAGAATGCTCATCCAAGATGAATAAGTTGTCGATGTGTGGCATGAGGGATGCTTTCGCCTATGTCAAAAACTTCATTCCAAGGACAACTTGAAAAACATCCAAAGGAACCATGGATAGGTTGATGTTGTCCTTCCATGGTCCCACTTGTAGTGCTTCTCCACAAACCATGCCTTCTACGGCCTAGGCCCCTGAGTTGACAGCCTTGATCCAACCTGTTTGTTTTGTGGGGGTTAAGTTGAGTCGTTGTGCTTTAGCGAGGGAGATAAAGTTGTGGGTGGCCCCAGTATCCACCAAGGATTGTGTCAGCCTCCCACCAAGGGTGATGTCTACATATTTTAGCCCCTTGTGGGCTTTGCTAGGCAGCTTAGATATGACCTCTTTCTTGACCATGGTATTTATGAATTGGAGAGTGCCTACTCTTAGCGTGGGTATGGGTTTCTCTTTGTCGTTTTCCTTACTATCATTGAGTTTGGCAATGAGGGCATCGACCTTCTTTCGCATGGGAAAATCACTTGTCCAATGCATTTCGTTGCAAATGAAGCAAGGTACAGGAGGTGTGGTGGGTCTCCTGGTGTACTTGTAGCCTTGGGACTTATTAGCTTCTTGTGGCTTCTTTCCTTGTTGCTGATAAGTTGGTCTGTTGGGGTACAACGACTTTTCTTTGGTGGAAGTTGATCGTGGGTCTCCTCCACTCAAGCTTATGGTGCATGGACTAGGTAGCTGGTGGTATGCTTCATCGGGCTTCTTTAAGTCAACAAGCTATTCAACCATGACCATGGTGGTTGCTAGGTCTTTCACCCTTCGCTGTTGTAGCTCAAGCTCAGTCCATGGTTTAATACCGTCCATGAAGTTGAACAAAAAATCCTTGTTCAACATGGTGGAGATCTCAAGCATCAAGGATGAGGATTCTTGGACATAGGTATGCAATGAGTCCTTGTGCTTCAGGTTCTTTATCTTCCTTCGTGCAAGGTACTCAACATTCTCAGGGTAAAATTGGCGTTTGATCTCCCACTTGAAGTCGATCCAAGTATTGATGGTGTGTGTGCTATGATCAATGTCCTGACAACACCTACGCGACCATAACATTGCAATATCATTCAAATACATTGCAGTTGTACATACCTGAATTTGCTCATCTTGGATGCTATTGGTGGCGAAGTATTGTTCAACTTGTCATAAGAAGTTGTTTAGCTCACAAACATCCCGAGAACCTGAGTATGGTGTTAGTTGTTGTACCTTTACGTGCATCGAGGTTGGAGTAGACGAGGCATAGGAGGAGTTGGCCATTGCCCTTTTTATGAGTGTCATCTTGTCCCTCATCTCATCCAGTTGCGCTTGGAACCGGTCCATTAGACCTTGAAGGCTAATTTGGGAAGGCTCTACTTCCAAGTGTTGTAATTTGTCATGGATCTCCCTAAAGGCGCCATTGAATTGCCCTTCTAGCTCCACCGCATCATTCTCCACTGTTTCCATGTTGAGGTGGAGTTCTTCAACCCGATCTCGAGTTGATTCGGTCCTCATTGGTGTTGCGGGCTTGGGACAGTCCGTATGAGATTTTGTCGGTGATGTCACAATTGCTCTTCATTGTGCGTGCTAAATGAGTTGATGAACAGGGTCCAATATATGAAGGAGCTCTTGGCTTTGATACCAATTGTCACGTGGATAATTGTTGGGGCCCCATGTGACACCCGAATGCATCAAGTAAGCCTAAGTGGCAAAGCAACAACACAAGAAAAGACAACAAGATAGCATATGAATTAAGGCTTGTTCGTTTGCTTTGAAGTCTGACATCTGAAAGTGCAATAATTACATCAAGAGATATATTGGTATTAGTGAACTTTTCTTTCCTTTGAACTCTAAATGTAAAGAATGTTGTTCTGAATTTTGAAAATTATCAAATATCCATTTTGACCCCATATATGAGAGTTTTTGTTTGTCTTTTTGGGGGTATCATTGAAAAACAAAAAATTGTATGGTTGCACTTTAAGAGATAAGAGATTAGAGGAAATGAACAACTATTTTTCTCTTAGAGTTAAAAGATTCCTCTTAAAAGATAAGAGTTAAGTGGAAACGAGCAAGCCCTTAGTCAAAAGGTTATTTGTATTGCATTAATTGATGGTAACCTTAGCACACAAGTTTATGTCAATGGGACCAAGTGCTTAACCTTTACACGCTATTGGCACACTCGACTACCTATCTCCCCTTAAAGAGTAAGTTAAACTTTTTGGGGAATAACATAAAAAAACATCAAAATAGTGAAAAATCATATTGAATATTTATAATAATACCATTGGCATTCCCCCTTACATAATACATGAATTATTCCACTCAAGACATAAATAATGACATACAATTGGCCGATCGAGTGGATGGCACTTAATGGCATGGTGAAAAAAACACTTGTGACGGTGGCACTTGATGGCATGACGAAGAAAACACTTGGGACGGTGGGGTATTGTGGGGCGCTGATGTGAACTCTTGTTGAGTTTGGGGTGGTAAATAGGGGTGTCCATGAAAAACCGAAAAGTCGAACCAAACTGAGAAAACCGAACCGAAAAATGCGGTTAGCTGAATTGATCGATTCGGTTTTGGTTTAGTATTTTTGAAAAATCGAAGGATCGGCTTAACTTTCGGAAAACCTACAAAAAACCGACAATTAATCGAACCAACTGGTATATATATTTATATGTATATTTTATATATTTTTAATATATGTCATATATTTTCTATATATTATATAAATATATTTATTATGTATATAAATATATGCATATATTATATTTATAAATATATTATATATTATATATTTTTATAATGTTTATAATATATTATACATCATTTATTATTTATAATATAATATATACATATATTTATATAATATATATTATAAATATAAGAAATCGAAAAACAAAAAAACCAAACAGGTAAAAAACCGAAACTGATAGACCAATTAACCGGTGGTACAGTTCGATTTAAGTTTGGAGAAATGGAAAAACCGTTCGATTTGCAAAAATTGCTCGAACCATGGACACCCCTAGTGGGAAACATTTTAAGTGGTGGGGTCCGTTGTAGTTGGAGATTGTTTAGGCATTTGGGCCTTTGACGTGATAAAGACGGGGAGGTTTTAGCAATGCCCTTTGCGTGTCAGCTAAGCTCATTCCTTCCGGTATCAATGTCATTCAGGAACATTTGCGGGCGGGACAGACCTGAATACTCAAACCCAGAAATTTGCGGGCTGGCCCGCGCCAAAAGTGATGGCGGGCGGTGCATTTGTACGCGAATAATTTGCTGTTTGTCGTATGGAGGTTTCACCGGAGAATGACGGTGGGCGGTGCATTTGTCCGGATGCTTTTATTCAGTCATTCTCCCCTTTTATTCAGGTGTAGATACTCGCTGCTTTGTTATTCTGTCAATCGGCGTTTCTGTTGCGCTATAGACGCTTTTTCTACTTCTGCTATTCCTATTCGTCAGGTATTTCAGAAACAGAACGAGCTGTTTCGATGGAACGCGAGGATTCAAGAGCTTGGTCAACTGGGGCGTGTCGACGAAGCTCGTCGAATATTCGACGAGATGATCCAAAGGGACGCTGTCACTTGGAATTGCATGATCACCGGCTACTTCAACAATGGAAGAATCAACGATGCGCGAGTGCTCTTCGATGCATTCGCTGGGAAGAATGTGAAGACTTGGACTGCTGCAGTTACCGGCTACGCTAAGAATGGGAGGATTGAGGAAGCTCGGCAGTTATTCGATTTAATGCCTGAGCGTAACATTATATCTTGGAATGCTATGATTAGCGGGTACATACACAATCAAGATGTGGAGTCCGCTAGACGTCTTTTTGATGAAATGCCCAAGAGGAATGTAGTTTCATGGAACACGATGATCACTGGGTACTGTCATTGCAGTCGGATGATTGAAGCTCGTGAACTTTTTAACTCAATGCAAGAGAGAAATTTGGTGTCTTGGATGGTTATGATGTCAGGGTATGTCCACATTGATGATTATCGAGAAGCATGGGATATCTTCCTCAACATGCAACGTGGTGGATTGAGACCCGACCAGCCAATATTTGTATCTGTACTTTCAGCAGCCATTGGTTTGAATGATTTGAAACTAATTCAGAGTCTGCAGACACTTGCTATCAAGACAAATTATGAGGGAGACGTGGTTGTGGGTACATCAATTCTGAATGCATATACTAGAAATGGGAGACTGGATTATGCAGCCAATTTTTTTGAATGGATGCCAGAACAGAATGAATTTTCATGGACTACGATGTTAGCAGCCTTTTCACAGTGTGGGAGGTTGGAAGATGCGATTGCTTTGTATGAAAGGATGCCTGACCAGAGTCTTGCTTCCCGAACGGTGATGGTGACTGCTTATGCTCGGAATGGGAGAATCCATGAAGCAAGGCGTCTATTTGACGAGATTCCAAACCCAAATACCATTACATGGAATGCTATGGTTTCTGGATATGCCCAGAATGGGATGCTTGATGAAGCAAAGGAGATGTTTCTAAGGATTCCTGCACGGAATAGTGCTTCATGGGCGGCCATGATTTCTGGGTTTGCACAGAATGGACGAAGTGAAGAAGCTCTGAAGCTGTTATCTGAACTTCATGGATCAGGAACTGTACCAAGTGAATCTAGTTTCACCAGTGCTCTCTTTGCTTGCACCACGATTGGAGCTGTTGAGATAGGTAGACAGATACACTCTCTCATCATTAAAACAGGGAGCCAGTTCAACTCATATGTAGGAAATGGATTAATCTCCATGTATGCTAAGTGCAAGAACATGGAAGATGTATCTCATATCTTCAATAAAATGAGAGTTAGAGATACCATATCTTGGAATTCTCTTATTACAGGGTTTGCTGAAAATTACATGCTAGATGAAGCTCGCAGCACTTTTGACAGAATGCCCACAAGGGATGTCGTTTCTTGGACTGCCATCATATCAGCATATGTACAAGCTGGGCAAGGAGATATGGCTTTTGAGCTGTTTATTGACATGATGTCCGAGGGAACTAAACCAAACTCATCAACATTGGCTAGCCTTCTCAGTACTTGTGCGGATCTAAGTACAACCAAACTTGGCAAACAGATCCATGCCTTGGTTTTTAAACTTGGGCTTGATGCAGAACTCTTTGTTGGCAATGCTCTAATAACAATGTACCTCAAGTGTGGTTGTATTGATGGTTTTTCAGTGTTTGAAGAGATGATTATCTGTGATTTAGTTACATGGAATGCTGTCCTAGGTGGCTGTGCAAAAAATGGCTTTACTAGGAAAGCCATAGAAATCTTTGAACTAATGAAGGCAGAAGGGTTTGTACCCGATGAAGTCAGTTTTCTGGGGGTCTTATGTGCTTGTAGCTATTCTGGATTGGTTGATGAGGGATGGCACTACTTCAATTCCATGAGCCAAGATTATGGTCTCACGCCATCACTATGTCACTATTCTTGCATGGTTGATCTTCTTGGTCGGGCTGGTTGCCTTTATGAAGCTGAGGCATTTATTGAATGCATGCCCATAGAACCGGACTCTGTAATTTGGGGAGCTCTCCTTGGTGCCTGTAAGATCCATCAAAATGTTGAACTTGGCCGGAAAGTTGCTGAAAGGCTCTTTCAATTGGAGCCACAGAATTCCAGTACCTACATTTTATTATCAAACATCTATGCATCACTAGGCATGTGGACTGAAGTTGAAGAAGTTCGCCAACTGATGAAGGATCGAGGAATCACCAAGGAACCAGGAATTAGTTGGATTCAGATCAAGAACAAGCTACATTCTTTTGTCACTGGAGATAAGACACATGATCAGATTGATGATATTTACTCAACCCTGAAGGAGTTCTATGAGCGCCTTAAGGGGATGGGTTATGTCCCTAATACAAACTTTGTTCTTCATGATGTGGAGGAGGAGCAAAAAGAGAATGTACTCCTCTACCACAGTGAGAAACTTGCTATTGTTTTTGGCCTTTTGAACACCCCAAATGGAATTCCCATCCATGTTATGAAGAACCTTCGCATTTGTGTTGATTGTCATACATTTACAAAATTCATCTCCAAGATAACCCAGAGGGAGATTGTGATCAGAGATTGGAGTAGATTCCACCATTTTCAAGATGGGTCATGTTCTTGTGGAGATTACTGGTGATTTTTGAATTAAAGCATCTTGGGATTTGAAGGAACCTCACTCTAAGAAAGCAGAATGAGGATGTGGATAAATTACTACTACGAGTGAAAAAATGTCCTGCCATGGTGTACAGTGGCATTTTCAATTTTTCTGAAAGATACTCATCATCAAGTCAGTTAAATACAGAGCAAAAGAAATTTTGGTAAGGAATCAGTCCTTGCTTTTAATTTACTAGTCAGTTTGATCTGTTTATCTATTGTTTTTCATTTCATCATTTTTCTGCTTTTGTAGTGACATTTTCATCGTTTGTAAAAGAGGCTTTATGAACCAACCAGGAAACAATAAAATACAGAGCAAATCAAATTTTGGTAAGGAAACAGTCCTTGGTACTTGTACTTTACTAGTCAATTTGATTTATTTGTCTTTTTATCTCTGTTTTGTCAAGTTTTCTGTTTTTGACAGCTTTTTTTCATCTTGTTCTGTTATTAAATCTACAACAGACATTTTGTTATTCACATGGTCCCATAGGATGGTCTTTCAATTTGTAGTGTAAAAAAGATTATCTGTTTTTTATTCTATCTCATTGCATTGGAGATGGTTAAATTTTTGAATATCCATTGTCTCAGTCAACTAAGTTATCCTTAGAACTTTTCAAGTGCATTTGCCCAGATCATAATTTGAGAGTAGAGTATGAAATTTCCTGAAAATTGATTGGACTGCATGGACTTGGATGTATTCTCCAATGGATCCGTCTCTTGGAATTTAGATCTAAGTAGAGGATGAAGAGTTCTGAAGATTAAGAGGTAAAGACCCACACTCTCCTTAAATGGTGAAGATGTAAGAGTGTGGGTCTTTGTCTGTTGAATCCTTTTCAGTTTTTTTACCTTAAAATTTTGTTTGAAGATCACCTCCAACCAGCCAATTTCCCTTGGAAAGCCCTTTGGGTTGGCCTGACCCCTCATAAAGTTAAAGTTTTCCACTAGGAGCTGCCAATCTATAAGTTAACACATGTGAGAGGCTTCAAATAAAGAGGAAAAATTGGTGTCTTTTCCCACATATGAGCACCCTATGTTTCACAAATGGTAAAAGTGTAGATCATCTGCTACTTATGTGTTCTTACTTCTCAAAGGACATCACTTGTTTTCTTTCAGTTTGGGATTGTGTAGGGAACCCCCTCCATAGTCCCCCTCCCCCCCCCCTAGAAAAAAAAAAGACTACAAATAGAGTGGAAGCCTCTTACTAAGGGTGTGGAGCTGAACTTTGATAGTTTGATGGCAAGAAACCGAATTCAGTCAGTGCAAAGCCCATTCGAACAGCCATTATAGCCTTGCATTGGGAATATCTCCCCATGAAATAAAGTACAGAGGTATGGAGATATTTCCAATGCAAGGTTGTAAAGGCTGTTCGAACAGTGTTCGAACGGGCCTTGTGCTGATCGAAGCCAATCTCTGATGGCAGCAGTCTAGGCAATCCAGGGCCTTCGGGTATAGGAGGGATCTTAAGAGATAAGGATAGAAACATCCTATCCCTATTCTTGGGACCAGTGGGAGTTGGAGATTCAACAAGGGCTGAGATACTAGCTGTAGTGCATAGTTGTCAAGGCGGGCGCCTAGGCGACAAGTAGATCTGTTCATGGGCCGGGCCAGGTCGGGCTCAGGCCGGGCTTTTACTGTGTATTAACAAATTTTTCTAAGGCCCGAGCTCGAGCCCGACCCGACCATCGGGCCTACAACATGGGCCTGAGCCCGGCCCTCATAAAAAGCCCGAAGCCCGAGCCTGGGCCCGGGCCCGAAATTTAGCCTATACTATAAGTATTATTAATGTTGAAGCGGCTGAATAGAGAGAGATTGAAATTATAAAGAAAAGAATAAAATACATATATATATATTAAATTATAAATATTATATTATTTATAATATTTTATATAATATATAAAATACATATTATATATTTTATAAAATATATAATACTGAGTCGGGCCGGGCTTTTTTGACAATTCCCAAGCCCGACCCGAAACACAGTCGGGCTTACTGTGTTAGGCCCGCGGGCCTAATTATATGACCAAGCCCGGCCGGGGTGCGGGCCGGGCCGTCGGGCTACCCGGCCCATGAACAGGTCTAGCGACAAGGCACCGTTGGAGGCTCGCCTTGCCTAATCGCCAAGCAGTTTTCTGTAGTGTGTTAGACAAAACTTTTATATTCTTAATTTTTTGAGGTTATAATTTTAAAATAGACATTTTTAAACTAAAATATTCATTTTGTGTTTTTATATACTTATTTCTTTTTATTATTTTCTTATTTGTTAGGGCTTAATCAACACAAACATTGCTAAATGCTGTATTGAACCCTGGAAGACTTCAAAACCTGAACCAATAAGTAAGGAAGAACTTAAAATGTTGTCTAACCAACACATTTACTTCTTTTTATTTACTAATTTTGTGTCTATACTATATACCAATTTTCTTCTTCCACCTTTTCCTTTCTTCTTTTCCTATAACAGAAATAGGGGTTCAACCCTTATATTTTTTGAAATTTCTTTTCTTCTTTTTTTCTCATGAATATGTTGGAATATGTTGATTCTTCTTTAACATGAAGTTTATACTTTTCTCATAAAAATTATGGATAATTATTAAGGAAATATGATTATGGAACCTGGGGAACTACCCTAGGATACATAATTTTACTTGAAAAAATCCATTGCCTAGGCGACTAAGCGATGAGGCACCCCCCTTGTTGCTTAGCCTCGCCTTGGCACCTTGAAAACTATGCTGTGGTACAAGGAATACATGCTGCCGCAAACCAACTATGAGTGGAAAATCTGATAGTTGAGGGAGATTCTAAGGTGGTAGTGGGTTGGTTGTTGAGTCCAATAACAGTACTATGGGTCTACAGGGATCTTTTTAAGAAAGTTAATTGGTTCACAAGGATTATGTCAGTCACCTATCAGTGGGTCAGCAGATCAGCAAATGCCATGGCAGATTCTTTGGCAAAACAAGGGGTCTCAAGGGTTGAGTTATTTTCTGACACTTTATGATTGTATTCTGTTAAGTTTTGTTTATGCTCTCACCTCTAAGGGGAGGTAACATCTTGTGCTTCCTCTTAGGGTGAATTTACACTTCCTTTCATATTAACATAATCATTATTCACTTATGAAGAAAAGAAGATTGTTGTAGGGAACCCCAACATCCATTTTAGACTTGTTCTGTTATCCCTTTTACCACACAATCAAGAAGGGTGAAGGTATTATGGAAAGGTATAAGGGATGCAACACTTCAGTGCATATTGGGTGAAAAAGATTTAAGAATTTCTTATGAAAAAATAATGAATAACTGATGTACAACACTTTACTGATAGAACTCATCAAGATAAAGACAACACATTGGGTGTTGACTTTGGAACTTCAAAGGCACATCCATCAATTATTTGTTGAGAAGGTGGGAGCATATGGTATATGTTAGTAGAAAAGGATGATATGGAGAGATGTGTGGTCCACATTAGACTATTGTGCTATGGTAGCTGGGAATATTGTTTCCTGGAGGAGTAAAAAAGCAATCAATGGTTGTTAGATCTTTAGCTGAAGCAGAATATAGGGCTATGGCCCATGGGGTTTCTGAGTTGTTATGGCATAGATCTCTCCTTGATGAGATGGGCGTTTCATGTGACAAGTCATTGATGCTATATTGTGATAACCAGGCTACTATTAACCTTGCTCACAACCTGGTTCAACACGATAAAACTAAGCACATTGAGGTAGACAGACACTTTATATGGGAAAGAGTGGCTTCAGGAGAGGTGTGCATTCCTTTCATTGCATCAGAAGAGCAGCTAATGGATTTTCTAATTAAGGGAGTTCCAAAGGCAAAGCTTCAACATTTTTTTTTTATTGGAAACAGTAACTTCATTAAAATTAAAACTATGATAAGGTACATCTGTTCACTCCTAAGAAGAACTTGACCCAAGTTACATACTCATTATAACACTACCCAAAACATGTTCTCCCTTACCGTCCCTTGTTTTGCTAAGATATCCGCTAGCCCATTAGTTGACCTTCTTGTCCACTTAAAGCAGACACCAATCTCCCTCATTATATTCATTATTTCCCTTGTCACCTGTCTATATTTCCATGCTCCCAAACAACCTGACTTAATAGCCTAGAGTCCCCTTCAATCTCCATTTGATGTAGTCCCAAATGTTTGGCATATCTTACGCCTTGAAGTAAAGCCATCACCTCTACTCTTAATGAATCTCTTCCTATTGGCCCCGAATTCATGGCAATAATTCTGCCTTGCCCATCTTTAAATACTCCCCCTATACTTGACGGGCCCGGATTACCTATAGAGCTGCCATCAAATTTCAATTTTGTGTTTTGGAAAGTTGGTGGGGCCCACATTTCCTGCACCACAGGCTTTGGGGATGTAGTACTTGCCACCTCACCCCATCTTCTGTAAATGTCATCAGTTGAAAAGTCCTTAAACAACTCACTTGTTTTCAACCAGTGAATAACCTTAAAAGTTATTCCTTCTACAATTTCCTCCTTGGATCTTTTAGTATTCTTAAAGATCCTATTGTTTTCCTTCTTCCCAAATTGACCAAAGAACAACTGCTCTTGTAGCTCTCCACATTATTCTACCCCGCTTCTTCGGTTGCCTATAAAAGTTTGGGTCAAAAAGACTTACCACATCCGGGGGAGGGGTCCACCAGAACCCAAGCAGAGGCATGATTGACATTATACTCGGCTTGAGGGGGAGTGTAGTGAGAATGGGCTGAATGGGCCTTAGTTTATTTTTCTTTAAGTTATGTTTATAACTTGTGTTAGTAGGTAGTAGGCCTTAGTTATGGGCCTGTTTTTTCTTTTCTTATTGTTTTTTATTTTTGTCTTTAGTGATGGACGCCCTACTAAGGGCACTCATGTAATTGTCTTTATCATTGGGGGCTGAAGAGGGGTTTTAGAACTCTCTTCTTCTTCCCTTTCTTCCATCTTCTTCCTCCTTTACTTTTCTCTCTCCCATCTTCTTCATCTTCATCTTCTCTTTTGTTTTTCTTTTCTTTATTCAGATTGTTGCAAGTGTGTTTCACAACTGACTCACAAAACTTGTTGTATTACTCGACTTCGGAGCTGCAACATCATCCAGAATGTAGAGACATCAACCACACGACCCTTACCAATGGTTCTCCCAGAAGTCAAATCATGGAAAACACAGAAATCAAAGAAAATGTTACATTGCAATTCAAGGATTTGATAATGCAACTAATTGACAAAAGATTGGTAGGAAATCTGGGAACATGATAAACTGAATGAAGAACCCCATTATGTAAGGGCACTGCACCTTGGCCAGCTATGGTGGTGTGTGAGTCATCAGCTAGCCTAA